ACACCCGGGCCTCGGAGCTGGATCACCCGGCCCCTGGCGCGCTCTCCGCCTGGAGGCGTCCAGCTGCAGACCCCCGACCCCATTAACGGGCTCAGTGGTGGGGTGGAAAGCGACCCGGGTGGAAAGCGACCCGGGAGGGTGAGGAACTGAAACTTGGGGCGAGTACCACGGGTGCAGTCCCCGTGACCTTCCCCTCCCGGGATAATGCTGCCTCCCTACCTCCCACGCGCCAAGAGATAAATGTGGATTCGCAAAGGCAGGCCCCCCAGGAGCTTCAGCTGAGGGGGGCGAGAGGGGTTACTCACTTCTGACACCCCCAGCCTTTGCTTTAAGGCTGCATTCTCCCTCCCTAACACATGTTGCTTGAAGTACAGGATGGTTTGTGTTTACACATGCGATAAATGTGGGGAAAGCAGTTTTGTGCTTTAGAACAAAAGAGTCTGGAGTGTTTTTTTGGGGGGGTTGTCTCTCTCTCTCTCTCTCTCTCTCTCTCTCACACACACACACACACACACACACACACACACACACACACACACTCCTTCCTCCTGGCGAATCTTCACGCAGAAAGTTAACCCCAGCTCCTCAGAACCCACCCTCTCTGGAGTGGCCTCTGTTTTGTTTTGGTTTTTTCTCTGAAGGTTTTTTTTCTAACCTCTAGTGGGCGGAGCAGAAGTTAGCAAAGACGCGACTTTTGAAACCTTCTGAATCTCCGCGCCCTTTTGTTCAAAACCAAGAATTTTGTAATTGGCTCTTCTAAAGAGGAATATAATGAAGTGACTTTGGGAGGAGGGGTCTAGGATTCTGGAATAATTTTCTTGTGCTTCATATTCCCAAGTACTTCAGTAGGAGCAGAATTTACTGAAGAAGGCTGGGCTGAGTTGGGTCTTAAAAATTGCTGTCTTAAAATAGCAGAAACATTTTTGTTTTGAAGTTGAGGAATATCTGCTGAACTTGTATTGAATGCCTATTCCCTTGCCTCTTTTGCAGATATACCCATCAGATAACTACACGGAGGAGGACATGGGTTCAGGTGACTATGACTCCATAAAGGAACCCTGCTTCCGAGAGGAAAATGCCCATTTCAACCGGATCTTTCTGCCCACGATCTACTCCATCATCTTCTTGACTGGCATAGTGGGCAATGGCTTGGTCATCCTGGTCATGGGCTACCAGAAGAAACTGAGAAGCATGACAGACAAGTACAGACTACACCTGTCCGTGGCAGACCTCCTCTTCGTCCTCACCCTGCCCTTCTGGGCAGTTGATGCCGTGGCAAACTGGTACTTTGGAAAGTTCCTGTGCAAGGCTGTCCATGTCATCTACACGGTCAACCTGTACAGCAGTGTCCTCATCCTGGCCTTCATCAGCCTGGACCGCTACCTGGCCATCGTCCACGCCACCAACAGTCAGAGGCCACGGAAGCTGTTAGCTGAAAAGGTGGTCTATGTTGGTGTCTGGATACCTGCTCTTCTGTTGGCTATTCCCGATTTCATCTTTGCCAACGTCAGGGTTGGGGAAGACAGGTATATATGTGACCGCTTCTACCCCAACGACGTGTGGATGGTGGTGTTCCAGTTCCAGCACATCATGGTCGGCCTTGTCCTGCCGGGTATCGTCATCCTGTCCTGCTATTGCATTATCATCTCCAAGCTGTCCCACTCCAAGGGCTACCAGAAGCGCAAGGCCCTCAAGACCACAGTTATCCTCATCCTGACTTTCTTTGCCTGCTGGCTACCCTACTACATTGGGCTCAGCATCGACTCCTTCATCCTCCTGGAAATCATCAAGCAAGGATGTGAGTTTGAGAACACTGTGCACAAGTGGATTTCCATCACCGAGGCCCTCGCCTTTTTCCACTGTTGCCTGAATCCCATCCTCTATGCCTTCCTTGGAGCCAAATTTAAATCCTCCGCCCAGCATGCACTCACCTCTGTGAGCAGAGGGTCCAGCCTCAAGATCCTCTCCAAGGGAAAGCGGGGTGGACATTCTTCTGTTTCAACTGAGTCTGAGTCTTCAAGTTTTCACTCCAGCTAACACTGATATAAAAGACGTTTATACATGGAAGAACTTTTTTTTTTAAAGTTATACATTTTTTCCAGCTATAAAAGACTGACCAGTACTGTACAGTTTGTATTACCTGTTGGATTTTTTTCTTGTGTTTAGTTTTTGTGAGGTTTAATTGACTTATTTATATAAATATTTTTGTGTTTCATGTTGATGAGTGTCTAGGCAGGACCTGTGGCCAATTTCTTAGTTTGCTGTATGTCTGACTGTAGAACTGTAGAAAAGGGAACTGAACATTCCAGAATGTGCAGTGAGTCACTTAAGCTAGAAATGACCCTCAGCTGTTTGTGTATAAATAATCTCTCCATTCCGGTGGAACAGTTTCTTTGCCTGTTCTGAACTTGTTTGGTTACACTATGTGATTTTTTGCTGTAGAAGATGGCCCTTGGAGCCAAATCCTGAAGTAGAAATGCTGGTTTTTCATTTTTCAGGAGTGGGTTGATTTCAGCACATACTATGTACAGTCTTGTATTAAGTTGTTAATAAAAGTACATGAAAAACTTACTTAGTGTTACGTTCTGATTTCCGTTGAGACATTCCTTCAGTTGGCAGAAGTCAAAAATAACAATAATAGATACATTGATGGCACGCCAGGTTCTCTCCTAGGTATATTAGTTATAATATTTTACTTAATCCTAGTCACAACTCTTACAATAGGTTCTGGTTCTATTATATTATTACTTGTCTATTATAGAGCAGGAAATCAAAGCACAGAAAGCCGAAGTTACTCAGTCAAAGGCATTTGGTAAGTAGCACAGCCAATATTTCAAACAGGTAAGATAACTTCAACATCTGAAGCCTCAACCACTGTGAACATAGAAATTTAGAAATGTCCAGTCAGTACCTATTCCTATGAAAGAATCTTTCTGAAGGAGAAGTGTGCAGAAAGGAGAAAAGGTATGCAATACACGTTAGATGTTCCTACTGCTACTCCTTGTGTAGTCCAGGTCTGTGCCAGGCCAGGCATTGTATGCTTATTGTATACTCTTCTCATCCAGTCCTCTCAATGTAGATAGCATCACTCCCTTCTCACCGACAAGGGAACCCGAGGTTCAAAGACTTTCCATAACTTGCACTTTTCAAGGGGACACACCAAGAGCTAATTCCATTTATCATTCTAGCCCTTGCTCTTAACCATTACCCACTATTATCACCCAGAACACCTGGTCATAAGTCAACTGAACTGTTATTGAAAATAAAGCCAAAAGTGAATGTTTTCTTCATAAAATTAACCATGCCCAAAATACTCCTCTTACAATATCTTCTATGCAAATATCAACACAATCTATTGCAACACCTAGCACCTGAAGGGTTCAACCAAGCAGATAAAAGTTAAACTGATGCTTTCAGAGCTCGAGAGAAAGGTTGACTGAAGCAAGCTCTCCATTGCTCATATTTTGCATAAGACTTTGGAGTCTTATGTAACATCAACCTTAGCTATTTACACTATCATTGTGCAAGCCCCAGGCTCTTGAGTAAATTTCAGCTCCAGTCCCCATTTAAAGAGAATTTCTAAACTATAGTACCCTTACCTATCTCATTTAGAATACAAACAGGGCACTCCAGGCATGCACTCAAAGATAATAACCAAGATATAATTAAGGCAATATTTGCTCTACTTTTTGTCATTGTTGCTAGCACAGAAAATCCATTTTGGAGGGAAAAAATGCAATGTTTTATCTTTCAGAGGCAAATCACATTTGTTGAAGGCAAATTATAGATCCTGTGAAGGGAAATAACTTAATTACTTAAAATAGAATCCAATTTGGCTGCACATCTTTGCTGCAGTCTATGGATCTGGGATAGTTCAGAGTGGTATTCCTATTCCACTTGAGAACATAATTAGATTTTAGATAGGAAATTATCTTGAGGTTTCTTGGTTTTCCCTGGGAAGCCTAATTGGATCACCCTTCATTTAAGCATAGTTTTTCATGTACTCTTTCAAAGGCTTAGTCTTAAAGCCATGACCATTGTAAAAGCCTTCACTTGAACTTGCTCTATAAATATTTATTCTTGAGGAGACAATAGAAGAAATCCTTGGAAGGAATTTTTTCTTTCACATCTTGGCTCGAAACCTCATCACCCCGGATTCCTCTGCTCTGCCCTGGAGTTACAACAAAAGGAACCAAGCTGAAACAAAATTCCCAGTGTGACCAGTCTTAATGGATATTTCATTCTCCCTTGGAACAAAGGTGGGATATCTCTTTTTCAAAAAGAGAAAAAGCCTTGGTTCTCTCCCTGCCCTGAAAACCCCCCCCCCCC